GAAAACTATAATGATAATAATAATATAATAATTATAATAATAATAAACAATATGAAAACCATAATATATTCATTAAATAATTATAATAATAATAATAATGACAAATTGTTTATTATTATTTTATGATAATTATTTTTATTGTCATTATTATAGTCACAATATTATTATTAATATTATTGTTTATAATGATAATAATAATAATAATAATAATAACAATAATAATAACAATAATATTTATTATTATTTGAATATAATAATTTTTATTATTTTATGATAATTATTATTATTGTCATATTATAGTTATAATATTATCATAATATTATTGTTTATAATGATAATAATAATAACAACAATAATAACAATAATATTTATTATTATTATTTAATTATAATTATTAAATATGTTTTATTATTATTTCAAAACAAGATGGAAACAGGTTTATTTATTTACTTATTTAAAACATTTTCATACATTTATATTTGTTTGTTATTTATGGGTTCTTAAACACACAAATTAATTTTAAAAAGTATGTATATTTAAATAAAAATATTTTCTTCAAGGAGTTTTTCAGATTTTATTTATTAATTTAATTACATACTTTAAATTGTTGATTGTTTTATTTTTGTAATTAACTTAATTAATTTAAGCAAATTTTACCCAAAATATGACAAATAAAAATAAATATTATAGTTGTAAACAACAATGAATGATAAGATTTAATATTAGTAGAAGTGAAATTAAGGATTCATAATTTTAAATGTTATACATAAACTGGATTCAAAATGTTGATTTCTTTATATGTTTTTATTTTCTGTATTTTGTGTTTTTATTTTTTGTTCCATTCTTTTAGTTAAACTGACAAACTTTGGCATTAATGTTTTTATTTTAAATATTTTAAACAGATTATCTGAAATGAATGAAATCATTTGAAGACTTTTATTTTAAATGTTTCAGTTTTCAGCTAATTTATTAAAAATAAGACATTTTATTGTTCCAGAAACTGAAGTTAAAATGTTAAATTTCTGAACCTTCCCATGATGCCTTGCTGCTGGATTTGCCTGATTATCAGCTGCTGTGGGAAACAGGAAGGAGTGTGGGGACAAAGTGGTGCATTCAGGAACCTGCGAGCAGAACCATAAAGCTGTTTGTAGAACCGAGTCAACAAGACGAAGAAACGAACCGGAACCAGCAGCAACAGTAATTTAGATTTTACTGAACAAAGTTTAAATTATGAAACTTAAACGTTTATTTTTCTTCACATTAAAACTTTCCTTCAGATTTATTTAATCTTTTCATTCGAATGGATTTTAATTTAAATTAAATTAAATTTTGTTTACATAAATATTAAAATACTCAGATATTATAAAACAAATTTGTCTCAGTTTTTAAGAAACAAATCTTTTTGTTATTAAAAGTTGTTACACTTTAAATGAATCAGTTCTGTAAAATCAGTCGTTTTAGTTTCTTTATTTGTGGAATCAATTTGATGCAACATCTAGTTCTGATTTATGATCAATGATTTATTTATTGGAAGTTTTTTGTTACAGTGAAGTGAAAACAGACAAATAATGTTCCTGAAGCTTCACGTGAAGCTCAGAGTTCTGTCCAGCATTTTAAAATAACTTTATTTATTTATTTCAGTTTGATTTCTCTCCTAACTTCTTTATTTTAAGTTTGATTCTGCGACGCTTCAGAACTTCAGATTAATAATCAAACGTTAAAGTTTAAATTTTTATTTTCAAATAAAAATCATAAAATAAAACATTTCCCGTCAGATATTTTATGTTGCAGCTTCAGAGAACTTCTCCTGCAGTTTTAATCAGTAACCGTGTTCAGGTGCGCGGCTCGTCCCTCATTAACCTTCGTCCTCGTGTTCGTCACCGGAGGTTCGGATTTCTGTCTGCGTGTCTGTGTTTGGACCAGAACCGCAGCTTCTTGAGCTGAAACTTCTCTAAAATTAAACGATCTTAAGAACGTTCTGATCTGAAGCAGAAGAACCCCACAGAACCTGGCCCATGCTGAGGCACGGCGGGGGCAGCTTCATGCTGCGGGGTGTTGGTTCTGGACAGGACCCGGACATTTTATCAGAATTTAAAAGGTTTGAATCGAGACAGGACAGAGTTTTTAGATTTTATTTTTATTTTCTGTCTCCAGCAGCGACTCATCAAACCGGTCCGGGTTCTGGAGTGGAAGGGGAACTTCATGTTTGGACCTGCTGTTAGTTCTGGTTCTGGCCCGGAGCTTCCTCCTCCCTGACTCGCAGGCGGTTAAAGGCAGTCAATCTTTAACCAGCAGTGGATTTTGTCCTCGGCCTGACCCCAGACCGGGCCGAGGGTTCGAGACCCGAGTGGAGCCAAAGGAAGCACGCAGTTCTGCTCCTCCTGCCGGATCAGTTTAAAACTGTGTCCTGTTGACCCGGTTCTGTCCACACTGAGGACAACTCTTTACGTTTTCATTACAACAACCGCTGGAAGGTTAGGCTCCGCCCCTCGACCGTCCACAGCTGACGTCATGTTCACGAGAAGCTCAGAGGCTGTAAAAGTTAATCATCTTAAAAACACGTGCGTCCCGCGGCCGTCTCTGAGTCCAGGGCCTCCAGGGTCTGCTGCGAGTCCAAAACCGTATCAGGAAGCCCGGAGACGAGCCGAGGGACAAATGTCTCAAAATGAGACGAGGAGGACATCTGTCTTCTGGTTCTGGAGGAGTTCTGAATCTGGTCCACTCTGCTGTCTCTGAAGGTCCCACCAGGTTCAGGCTCTGGACTCTGACTGGACCATTGCAGCACCTTGGGTCTGGTCTTTTTGTCCTCTTGGTCCCAGTTGGGTCCAGTTGTCAGACTGTCTCAGATCGGAGTCCTGATCAGTGGTTCCCCAGCAGAGACCAGAGACCAGCAGAGACCAAAAGAGTGAATCTGGGTCCGTTTGATCCATTTGAACCTGTAGTGAAATCAACAATAAAGGTTCTGGTCTCCTCAGGACCCTGATCCAGGTGTTATGTGGTCCACGGTTTGTTCCGGACACAGGTTCTGAGTCTACAGCATGGGCCCAGACCATGAGCTGCTTGCTGCATTCTGGGTAAACATCTGTCCTCTGCTCTGGTTCTGGTCCAGAAGTCTGGTTGAGGCCATGACCTTTGACCTGCTGACAGTAGAGTCACTGCACGGTCTGACCTTAAGGGTGAATTTGGTCCTGCTGAGAACCCAACCCTCCCCCCTCCCGTGTCTGTCACTCTGGGTAAACCAAGATGGAGGCAGCTTGCAGGAAGGGGGCGTGGCCATGTGGATCCTGACTGGCACCCATATATAGTATATAGTATAGTATAGTTTATATTTTTATACACTACTCTTATTTAACTGCATTTTTACTGTAGTTTATTGTTATTATTGTTTATTGTTATTGTTGTTTATTGTTATTGTTGTTTATTGTTGTTTATTGTTATTGTTGTTTATTGTTAATGTTGTTTATTGTTATTGTTGTTATTGTTATTGTTGTTGTTTGTACTTTGTGTTCTGCCTGGATCAGGTCTCTCTTGTGAACGAGTCCTCGTGGATCACTGAGACCAGCCTGTAGAAATCAAGGTTGACTGAACATTGACTGGTGGCTCCGGGGCCGTGACCTCTGACCCCGGCCCCTCCCTCAGGTGAACACGGTGATTTAACAGAAAGTCTTTAAAACGACCAATGTTCCCGGAATCAGAACCAGAACTGACTCATTCTGCTGCAGGGATCGGTTCTGTTCTGATGGTTTGGGCCAGCTGGTTCCAGAAGACAAACGTTTGTAAATAAACAGAAAAGGTCAAAGTTCAGACAGAAAGATGGTTTAAACAAGTCCGTTCATCTGAGCCAAAACCTGAACTCTCATAAGCAAAGGATCTAATCTGACCCCAGACTCTGGGTCTCTACAGGACTCTGGGTTTTGGTTAGAGATTCATGAGTAACAGCCTCAGGGTAGAAGCTGTTCCTCAGTCTAGTGGTTCTACACTTAATGCTCCTCAACCTCCTTCCTGAGGGGAGTGGGGCAAAAAGTGTGTGTGCTGGGTGAGTGAGGTCCTTCATGATGCAGGTGGCCCTCTTCCTGCATCTGGAGGTGTAGATGTCTGTGGGAAGACTGACTCCAACATCTTCTGTGCAGCCTCCGTGCCACACGTTGATGCTGGAGCACTCTTCCTCTACATTTCTTGTAGTTCGTTTTACTACATTTCTAGTAAAGATAAAACCTGCAGCAGGTCATTGTCGGAACGTTTCCTCAGATAAGACGCAACTCTTTTTACAATTTCTCAGAAGGATTCCTCTTATCATCCTCACTAACCTCAAACATTTCGATTCACCACAAACACTTGGTTTATATTTATTATAAAGATTATATTTAAAATCAAAATCTTCAACAATCTGGATTTGTTTAAACATCTGGATTTGTTCCTGAAAACCAGATGTGACAGATTTGAAACAAATTGTTGTCAAACTTCAGAACAAGTTATTTAAATATTTGACCACGATTAAGAAAATCAATGTGTGCGGCAGAAACATGAAGTTTGTGAGACAATAAAATATATTTGTGTGGTTCTGCTCCGCCCCCTGCAGGTTCTCATGTTAAATATCATCTGTACAATCTCGCATATTGGATCTGTTTCAGTGTACTCGTGTCCTATATATATGTTTTGTTTAATATTTTTACTATAGTTTATCATTTTATGAACGTTTAAAGCTTATCTTCTGTTTCCAGCCTGGAAACCGGTGTGCTCCTGCAGTTCCGTTATTTACCTGTTGGAGGAAGCACGGACGTGTTTTTGCTTTATGTTGATTAAAAACCGTAGAAGAAGAAAATAGGAAGGCGCTGCGGGAGCAGCATCAAAATGTCGGCTCCGAAAACAATCCCGAAAGATGCTCAGGTATCGCTCACACACGCACACACAACAGCTTAACATGTTTTGGGTTTGGTGTGGCTGGATTATTTTATTTAAATATCAAACCGCTGCTGAAGTTGAGCTAAGTGATGCTAAGCTAACCTGTTAGCTCTTTGCTTTAAAATGAACTGAGCATGTTAGCATAGCTGTTAGCATTTTGCTCCGCGCTCTTTGAAACATCTTTATGGTTTTATTTTATAAAGCTATACTATGTTTGTATGTATGAAATCGGAGATAATAGGAGTATATATCAACTTAAAATGCAGCATATTTTTCTGTTATTTGGGACGTCGTGGAGCGATTAACAGACATAAAGCTTCCAGGTGTTGTAGTGAATTTGGTTTCTGGGTTCAACACGGACCGGGACGATTTTTGTGCTGTTTGTTTGACGCTCAGCTGTTTTTAAATGAGGTTATAATTAAGTTTTGATCCTTCACTCCTGGATCTAAATAACCTCTTTAAACTAGAGGTTTTTTTTCTCATATTTAAAACATAAACTCACGTGAATTGTATCCTGATGCTGCTCAGTAATCCAGGTAGAACAATTTAAAATAGTTAAATCTGGTCCTCTGGATATTAAAAAAACAAACAATTTGAATGTCCAGAGGACCAGATTTAACTTTTTTAGATCACATGAATTAAGTGATAAAACTGACTCAGCCAGATTTATTTTCATATTCATGGCTAAAACCAATGCAGACATGTTCCTGTTGTTAGTATTTTATATCGCTTTAATGTAGCAGTTTTTTTAAACATCATTTTCTTCCATTTATTGTTTTTGTTTTCATTTATATGCTTTCTTTTAGGAACATCTTCTGTTGTCATCAGTGTTTGTTAAAACCAGGACCGTTGTAAACGAGTCCTCGAGGCTCAACCTGTAGAGGTTCAACTGAACATTATAACATTTTAAAATCGTGACCTCTTTAAACTTTGGAAACATTTTATTATGTTTGTACATTTTTTTCATAAAGAGAGTTTCAATCTTGAAAATAATTTGCCATGGATAAATAAAGTATGTGAATTTACACAGATTCAAACGTTTAATAAAATCACAAAGCACAAAAAAAATCCAAGCTTTAATTTTCAGATTTGAACAGATGGACCGTTGAAAACTTGATGTTTCTCTTGTCGGTTCTGATGGATCCTGACTGGGTTCTGCAGGTGATGATCCAGATCCTGAAGGACATGGGGGTCACGGAGTACGAGCCGCGGGTCATCAACCAGATGTTGGAGTTCACCTACAGTGAGTCTAAATCATCAACCGTCCACTCAAACAAAACTGTTTAAAATTTGTTCTGCTAAGTTTTTAAAGTCAATTTAGTCGAACGAACATCAGAATCTCTTCTTCACGTTGTTTAGACCTGGTCCAACAGAAACCAGACCAGAACCAGTCTGGCTCCTGCTGTTCCGTGGAAGTGATCTTTAGTCTCAGTCTGATCCTGTTTCTGCCGGTGGATCCGTGCGAAACGCCACAGATCCTGACAGGAATCTGACCGACGTGTCGTCTTCAGATCACTGTTGTTTCCGTCTGCAGGATACGTGACGACCATCATCGAAGACGCCAAGATCTACGCCACGCACGCCAAGAAGTCCAGCGTGGATGCGGACGACATCAAGCTGGCCATCCAGTGCCGCATGGACCAGTCGTTCACCTCTCCGCCGCCTCGAGACGTAAGCCTCTGATGGCAGCTGCCGGGACTCGAACGCTCGGCAGCTCCGGGTTCTTCCAGACGACCGAGGCTGTTTGACTTCAAACAGATTTTCAACTCTTCACGTTTCCTTCAGAACAGTCGAAACAATAAATCGTCTGTAAACATCTGAAACACTTTCTGCTCTTTGGCTTCAGTTCCTGCTGGAAGTAGCGAGACAGAAGAACCAGACGCCGCTGCCGCTCATCAAACCGTACACCGGTCCTCGACTCCCTCCAGACCGGTACTGTCTGACGGCGCCGAACTACCGACTCAAATCCATCCAGAAGAAGGTGAGCCCTGACCGCCCAGCAGCAGCTTCTGCTCGTCCGCCCTCTCCTGAACTTGTTTCTGCCTGCAGGTGGCGCCGTCTGCCGGCAGGATATCGGTACCTCGCCTCAGCGTCAGCGCCGTCTCCAGCCGGCCCTCCACACCCACCCTCGGTGAGTCTGGTGGAGAGGGGGGGCGCGTCGAACAGAAAACTGAATCCTGACCTGTTTGTTCCGTTCCACAGGAACTCCTTCTGTCCAGTCGGTGAGCAGTAAAGTTGGAGCTCCGGTGTCTCTGACGGGTCAGAGGTTCACGGTTCAGATCCCCCCACCCTCTCAGACGGCCACCACCAAAACCAGTAAGAACCACCCCCCGCCCCGTGGAGCTCGGACCTCCTTGGTCCCGAGTCAGGATCCAACACAAATCTAAATTAAACTGTTTCAGATGATTTTGTCCTGAACCAGTTTGAATGTTAAAAACTTTATTTTACTGAGTTTAACTTTACACAAACTCTAAGATTTGAGACGTTTTCTTTTCTAAACCTTGAATTTGGTGAAACAAACATTTTATTCTTCAGGAACAGACTCGAGGTTTCAGGAGGAGTCGACCAGGAACAGATTATTGTTGATTGTTTACAACAACACGCTGACACTTCCTGTTTGTCCCGACAGCCACGCCGTCCACCCCCGCCGTCTCCAACGTCCTCATCAACCCGTCTCTGATCGGCTCCAAGAACATCCTCATCACCACCAACGTGGTGTCGCAGAACGCCGGCGGGGACTCGCTGAAGAGGAAGCACGAAGACGATGACGACTACGACGCTTTATGACCACCGACCTGAAACTAAAGGACTAACGTGACGCGGTGGAAACTCCCATGTGAGATTAGTGTTGTTTGTTTTTAACGTTCAGAAGAAGAAGAAGAAGACGGCTGCTGAGTGTCGGCTGTGGCTCCAAACGACGCTCCAACAAAACATTCTGAATAAATCCATAAACGAAAGTTCAGCGCTCTGATGTGTTGCTGTGTTTATAGGAGCAATTTAAAAAACATTATTTTTACTAAAATTATTATTATTAAGATCGACAAACATGGCCGACATTCTCACAATCTGAATAAAATGCTGCACGAGAAACCAACACATTAAACCTCTGCCTGTTGACAGCAGCCATGTTGAACCCTCCCGCTGTCGTCCTGCTGTTTCCTGCCGTCTTCCCACTGCTCTCCTGCTGCCCTCCTGCTGCCCTCCCGCTGCCGTCCAGCTGTTTCCTGCTGTCCTCCCGCTGTCCTC